GCTCATCGAAGATGATCGGCGACAGGTTCCATATGTCTACCATAAGTTCGCGCACGCACTCCACCACAGAGCGCAACCATACGACCTCAGCCATGAGTTCACCGTCGCGCGGAGACGACGAACGCGTTGACCGCCGATGATCTCGTCGCGCGACCGATCGACGACGGCAACGCGGGCTCGTCCCTGGGGTGCTATTCTGTACATGCCTACCGACAGTTGTCGGTGTCGTTAACAGCGTCGGTCGACAAATATGAATAAATGCGATTCTGTACCACTCTTAACGACAAATGTTTAACGATACTTATCGTTAATATATGACAAATCTCGTTAAATTTAACGTGACGGAAACGTTCTACCGACAAATTTCGAAGGAAAATATATGTTCTTTTTAACTACAGTTTTGTTCGGAAATTCGCTGTCGGTAGGCTTATAGTGCGTGGGCGCCTAAAACAAACGCAAGCTTAGAATGAAGAACAAAACCTAAAAAGGAATAAAGATTGTAGCTTGTAAAAGTGAGTATTTCCCAGATATTGTTTTATATATATATACCTAATATATAATAAAAATATATTGCAAATATCGCATATGCATATATATATACATATTTAAAGTGCAATGTTTTCCTTATTTTTTAAGTCATTTGGAAAAGATATGCAAATGCTATTACGTAGGTTAAAGTATGTGACATATTACTTTTTATACAGATAAAATAGTATAGTATAATATTAAATAAAGGTTAAGTAAGAGTCGACATAGATCTTGTTATTAAAATATATATATGAGTATTCAAATATTACACGATTAACATATCTATGAAGGTTAAATACTAATGTATATGATAATACAATAATGCAAAGTTATTGCTTTATTTAACAAAACTTAGAAAATTTTATCTGGCAAATAATAGGCAATTATTAGTATAAAATTAAAATTAAAAACATTTTCATGACACAAATAACTACTTATGATTTTAAAGACATAAGTGCTTATCAAACTTGAAGAAAACTTCTGTGACAGCACATAATATTTAAAATATTTAATATAACTTTTTAAATATTTATTAATATTATGTCTATCTTTTTACCATTGTCTTGTCGAGTATTGACTACTTCATGAGTGAATAGGTAAAGTGAATAGAAATCACTTAACACAAGGGTCAGATTATATTTCAGATATTACTTACTTTACTATTTCTGATATATTTTCTGCACTTTGACTATGCGTGTTTTCTTTAATATAATCTAAATGAAATCTTAAAGATAAAGAAAAATCTTAAAAGAAATCTTAAAAGAAATCTTAAAAGATCATTGTTATTTTAGCTGAATTTCTTGTTTTAAGAAATATATATATTTTGTTATAGCATTGCAAAATGAAGGCAGAAGGATTCCTAGCATGGGATATTTTATATTTGGAGCATCGCATGAGGCGTTTAGAACGTCGTATGGAGAGAAAGAATTGGAGAGAATTGCATGATCCTTTTGATCTCCGCAATATCGAATTTCTCAAGTTATATAGACTAAGTCCAGAGATCGTAATAGATTTAATTGAAACATTAAGACCAAGATTGGAACATGAGCGACCAGGTGGTCTTAGTCCTGAACGTCAGGTATATAGAATACTTTATGTTACATCTTTACACAAATTAATTTTTTTAAATGTGCTCTATTTTGCCAAAAATAGTGATTTTGAAAGCTTTGTATATAAAACACAAGTGATAAAATAAAAATAATTTTTTAAAAGCATAATATTTTTTAATTTGTTACAAATTTATAAATATTTTTTATAGGTTTTAGCCACTTTAAGGTTTTATGCTGTTGGATGTTTTCAAAGTGCTATAGGAGAACAATGGGATATTGCAATAAGCCAGCCTTCTGTTGGCCGCTGTATACGAAAAGTAACTGACGCAATAAATGATCTTCTACGACAATGGGTACGATTCCCATGACAGATGGCGAACGTCAAGTCGCCCGGGAAAAGTTTAGGATTGCTTCACAACCGTTTATAGTGCAATTGGAGCCATCGATTGCACTTATATAAACATTAAAGGGCCAAAAGAGCACGAAGAAGCATACGTGAATCACTGGAGTGACCATACTCTCAACGTTCAAATAGTATGTACTACATCAAATAAATATTTTAATTAGTAAGTATTTTCATCTTATGTGAAAATTTAATTATTAAAAGTTTTAATTGTTATATCTTTAATTTTTGTAAAAAGTTTTAAAATTTTAATATTTTTAATTTAGTTCTAAGATTATAAAACTTTTGATTGTAATTTATTTTATATTTTGCTCATAATTTTAATTTATTTTATATAAATGTATTTGTAAAAATTTTAATTAATAATATTTTTCCTTACGAGTAATGTATATGTAATTTAAGTACCATGTAGTGACATAATTGTTTAATATTATTATTTCACGGACATTTTAGTTCGGTTTTATTGGTAGTTTATATTTTAAATGTACATAATATATATATGTAATATAATATTTAATTATACTCAATGACATTTTAATTACGCTTAATGACATTTATGAAATACTATACCTTTTTAAAATATAAATATGATATATACATGTAAGAAATAAATATTTTCATGTTATTCAGATCTGTGATCCTGATTTAAAAATATTGAATGTAAATGCGCGATATCCAGGTGCACGACACGATACTTATATTTGGTCAAATTCTCCTTTACGATGTATAATGGAACGAAGATATAATAATGGAGAACGCAATACTTGGTTAATTGGTAAGCTAAACGTAATCACGAAATAGTGATAATTAAAGCTTTTGATCTTTCATGTCGAATTAAAGAATGATTTGGGATAAAAGGGTCTGTTTGATGATGAGACTTTCATTCGCCGCGTAAATTAAAATCGAAAAATACATTCGATACGTATGTTAACATTGTTAGACAATATTATCTTCCCAAAAAGTTTTAAATATTCCTATCATTGCCGTAACTGGCTGTCATTAGCCTTACTTGATTGTATATCATTAGAACCTTTGCATTTTGTTATTTTAAAGTTTTTTAATTTTATTATTTTTTATTATTTCATTACATTTCATTATTTTATTATATATTATCATCTTATTATTTTATTATTATTAACAGGTGATGATGGATATAGCTTAGAGCCATGGTTAATGACACCTCTAAAACATGAAATACCAAATACACCTAGGTTTCAATATAACGAGGATCTGTGCAGCGCTAGATCGTGCGTGGAACGTCTATTTGGCGTCTGGAAATCCGTGTTCAGGTGTTTATCTGCCCAGAAGCGTTTAATGTATGAGCCAGGTATGGCTGGTAAAATTATTAACGCATGTGCCGTGTTACACAACATGAGGATTGCTCATCGTATACAAGACGAAGAATTAAATGAAATGCATGAAAACTTGTATCACGTTAACAGACCAAATAGAGCTGTGGAGTATGACGACAGAGGTTATGCGTATCAAGGGCGGGCACTTGCCATACGTATTCAGGAGAGTTTTATTGCTCGGCATTATGGGAGAATATAAAAAAATTATTTCTCTAAACACGTACATAGTTATTATTTAAATTCTTTTGTATTACATATTGTATTTGTATTATATATTATATATTATATTATATGTTATAGTTTTAAAATAAACAATATATCTATAATATAAAGTGTGTAACATTTTTAACCATAACATATAATAAGTTATAAAGATATAAAAACGTTCTTATATTATGTGATTATGACGTATTAATTGAATAGTATTTTTTCCATTAATTTATGCATATTATCTAAAGTTGTAATCAGTTTTTCGTCTACTTCTAATCTTCTTTCCTCCATTAAAAATCTTTTTTCTTCCAAGGTGTTCTGTACACGTACATTTTCTGCTTGCATCATTGCAGCATCAGTTTGCTTTATTGAAGCCTCCGCAAACAACTGTAACAAAAAATATCAGTTATTATGAAATTAACAATTATTTCTTTTCACTTTAATATTTTAGATTACTCTTAATTATTACTTGAAATTTGTCTTAGTTCAGATTAATCAGATTTCAAATTCAAATATTTTATTTAAATCATATAATACATGCAACATTAAAACTATGACGAGTTAAAGAACTCTAAATTTAAATCAAAGTATCTCAGTATCCTAAGTTTAAATAACAATTATTATATTGATTTAATTTAACAAACATTAAGCAACACTTATATAACTGTTACTTATAATTTCCCTTACTAAACAATGTTATTGCTACATAACATGCACGTTATATTGCATTCACGTTGTTAAGTGTAAAATTGTAATTAAATTATGTTACTGTTACTTGATGTTTGTTGCAATGGAATTAGAAGGGAGAAAATGCATGCTCCAAATTTGTGTACACGACATTGAGATAAAGAAATATATTTACAACTTGTAATAAACTAAGCACACTTACTAAATACTACGAACAATTTCCTTTTGTTCTAACAATAAATTGCCATAAAATTATCGTGATATACAATACTTTTTAACCCATTTTTCTCATTCTGTAACGTTAATTTAATAGTAACTTATTGATTATTGGAGCAAAAAGAAAACATTTGTAATATTTTATAGTGTACTTAATCAATAGTATCTGTTATTTTTGCGATATATTTCTTTATTTTAACGTACTTTGGAATTTAGAGCATCTTATCGCTTCTAATGTCACAATTATAATTACATCACAAAAAAAGATTAGTTTTAATATACTTTATGCAATAATAAAAATACTATCTGTAGAGCTCTAGCGTGATTTTCAGCAATTTCTGTAAATTTTTCTCGAGCTTGTTGTAGCTCGACGCTTATATGTTTACTACTTCTCTCTGCAAAAATAAGTAAATAAAAAATAAAAAATATCTTTTTGAAATACATAACAAAATATTACAACCATTTTAGAAGCAAATGTGTCACATTGGAATATAGTTCCTGTGGAATATACAAATATAAATATATATTGCACATTATATAAATTTACACTTACTATTATATATTTCCTTCTTTTTTTGTTGCAGTCTCTTTGATGTTGCCTCTTTTTAAGCCTGTCGGCCTTTTCGTTGTAGTGTCTTCATTATTTAAACATTGCATAACATCATTATATGTCAAATCGTTTCCGTTACTTGTATTAGTCTCCATTATTTCAAAAACGTTATCTAAACACGTATGTATAAAGAAGAAATATAGTTTGCAATATATAGAATATAATAATAAACTTGAGTTTATATGTCATTAGATTATTATATAATAGTATGCAGCAAACATCAAATAATAGTACCATAAATATTAGTTATAATTTCCTATTCAACAATGTAAATGCGATATAACACGTGTGTTGTATAACAGTTTCATTGTTGAGTGAAATAAACTGTTATATAAATATTATTTCATATTTGCTAAGTATAAAATATATATGTAATAATCTCTTATTGTATGTATGTGCGTATATGTATATGTGTGAATGCGCGTACATGCGTGTAAGTGCGAGAAAAAGAGTATCCATGTGTAATAGAATGAGTGAGTGAACCATTACCGATATCTGCGTTTTTTTCCATATTCCAAATTTCACTTATAGACGTCGTCTCTAGTGGAATGTTTAGAACATCATCGTTCCCATGTCCTAGTTGAAGTTGATGTTTCTAAAAATATATATAAAATACATTCCTATAAGGAAATACATTAAATAGCATTAAAAATACTTATATATTACTATATATATTACATTGTACTATACATTTGTTCTTTAATACTGCATTGGAACTTTGTACCTTTTCTTTCCAGTGTTCAAATATATACTTACTTCAATCCAAATGCAGAAAGTGCAATATAATGTAGTGAAAATTAACTTCATATCTACAAAAAAAAATGTAATACAAAAGTATTTACTTATATAAGTAAAGAAATATGAATGTACCTCTTGTTCTGGAGTACTGTCCGGACAATCATGTGCACCTTCAACATATTGTAGCCCCATACAGGCAACAATACGTTGTTGCAAATTATCGAGACTTTCTGAATTCAATGGAAAATTTCCTGTCCGATTCCTTTCATAGCGTAATTTTGCTGCTTTCTTTGAAGCGTTACTTTTTAAATCACGCCAAACCTAAAAATTACATGAATATAGATAATAATATTATATTCTTCAAATATCATGTCAACATTACTATAACTTAATCAACAATAACATTATATTAATACTATTATTAATTCCCACTCCAGCAATATAAATGAAATATAATGTATTAAATTGCTCAGAGAATCTGTAAATAAAATTAAAGTATTGGGTGAGTGCAAAAGTTCGTGCGGAGTTTGTGAGTAAAAGTCACACAGTGATTAGGCAAACAAAAATCTTTGTTCAATCAATGATATATTCTCCATCGTTTTCTATAATCTTTTTCCAACGTTCTGGCAGCATACGGATGCCTCGATCATAAAAACTGCACGGTTTAGATTCGAAGAACGAAGAGACGCCGTTTTTTAAGGCCTCCAAAGAGTCAAAGTTTTTTCCATTTAAATAATTTTGCAATGACCGGAACAAGTGATAGTCAGATGGTGCGATATCAGGAGAATACGGTGGATGCGTTAAGACATCCCATTTCAGGCTCTTCAGTTTGCGCAGCGTCTTTTTCGAAACGTGTGGTCTGGCGTTGTCGTGATGAAAGACGACTCCCTTGCGATTTGACAAAATCGGACGTTTCTCTTTTATTTCTCGATTCAGATTGGTTAATTGGCGACAGTACTTGTCCGAATCAATCGTTTCGCCAGCGGGGAGAAGCTCGAAATAGATTATGCCCTTGCAATCCCACCAAACACAGAGCATCACCTTCATCGGGTACAAACTGGCCTTTGGCATTGCGTCACCATGCTCACCTGATTGTTTCCATGTCCGTTTGTGCTGAACATTGTTGTAGAGGACCCATTTCTCATCGCCCGTCACTAGTCGATCCAAAAACGACTCGTTATTGAGCCGCCCGAGTAAAGAAACGGCTGCAGAAATTCGCTTGATTTTGTTCTTCTCGGTCAGCAAATGGGGCACCCATATATCGAGCTTCAAATCGAATTCCATCTTTTTTAAACGCCGAAAAGCGGTTGATCGGTCAACGTTTAGTGCTGTAGCAACTTCTTCTGTTGAAATTCGCGGATTATTGAGCACTAAAGTACGCAAAACATCGTCATCAATGTCAGAAGGTCGACCAGAGCGTGGCTTGTCTTCAAGGTTAAATTCTCCGCGCCGAAATTTAGCAAACCATTTTTCCACAGTTTGTTTAGCTGGTGCTTCATCCTGATAAACATCCTGAATGTTTTTTACGGCTGCGGCAACGTTTATTCCCTTCCGAAACTCGTAAAGCGTAACATGCCGTAAATGCACCTTATCGATACTCATTTTTAAAGTGATATTTCTCGAAGCAGTTTGTATGAAAACAAATGATTTTTTTTTTAATAACAGCTGAAGACGTCATCTTTCCAACGTTATATAATATGTAGATGGAAGTATTAATGACAACACTTTACGATGCTTATAACTCCATCTATTGAAACTCCGCACGAACTTTTGCACTCACCCAATACTAATAGTAGCATTTACTTAGTACTAAAATATTAAGTAAGTAAAATTAAAGATATATTATTAACTAAACTAATGTATTAACTTAACTAATGTATTAACTAATATATTATTAACTAAACTAATGTATTAAGAATTTTCATGAAATACATGTTATAATCAAATACTTACTGTCTGCCACTGCTTCAATGTTTTCTTATTGCCTGCAGGCAATGCATTAAGCATTTCTGCCAACTGCTCCCATTGTTTAGCGTGATGGATTTTACAATCTTTAGTTAAATACTTATTTGTGGCAAATTCTGAATGTGACTCCATATATTTTACCAATTCTTCATATTGAGCTGTCGTTGTCTTTACGAACGGCTTTTCTTCAAACTAAATAAAAAAACATTGAAATTTAATTCTATACAAAAATACATATCATACGTAAGTATCATAAAACTATGACACATATACAATAAGATAAAAATACAAATATTATCCCAACATAATAAATTGAAACAATTTTTTATTAATATATACTAATTTTTACCCACATACTACTAAAAATACTGCAAGATCTGCAGGCAATATAAACAGAATAAAATTTATTGTTTTGTAACCAAGTAAACACCAATCGACAGTAATAATTTCAATGTTAACATTTCCTATTTAATAATGTAAATGCAATATAACATATATATTATTTCGCATTTACATTGTTAAATGGAAAATAATAATATTGATGTAATGTTATTGTTGATTAGTATTTATTGAAATTACTAACATGCATTTTAAATATATATACAGCAGATTTTTATTCTGTTTTTACCATCAATTTTCTGTTGAATGATTTGATAAGAAGTTAATGAAGTAGATGTCTTTAATATTCATTTTGTTCCTCAACGACAAGTAGCTGCCATCCTTTTCTTCAACAGAACAATATTAAAAATATCAACACATATATCAGGTGTAGTAAAAAGAAATCCATTATTTTTGCATGAAATTGAAGGCTTTAATTACCATAATTAGAATGATCCGATTTAGGTCAAATATGCGCCGTTTTGTTCGATAACTTGTTGCCATTTTGAAAGTAATTTCATTATGCCTCTCTCGTAGAAGCCCTATTGGCAAAAAATTGAGACAGTCGATTTTCACAAGCCTCTCTTGAAGCGAATTTTTCACTAGCAAAATTGTTCGCCATGGACAGGAACAGATGGTAATCACTTGGTGCCAGATCCGGACTATAAGGTGGATGCATAAGAACCTCCTAACCAAGCTCCCGGAGCTTCTGGCGAGTCACTATCGATGTGTGTGGCCTGGCGTTGTCCTGATGGAACACAATTCCTCTCCTATTAGCCAAAGCTGGCCGCTTCTGGGCGATTGCTTCCTTCAGACGATCCAATTGTTGACAGTACAGTTCCGAGTTAAGTTGCTTCGCGTAGAGGAGCAGCTCATAGTAGATAATTCCCTGCCAATCCCACCAAACACACAGAAAAACCTTCCTGGCCGTCAATCCTGGCTTGGCCACCGTTTCCGCCGGCTCACCGCGATTCGACCACGACCGTTTTCGCTTGACGTTGTCGTAAGTAATCCACTTTTCATCACCAGTGACCAACCGCTTCAGAAATGGGTCGATTTTGTTGCGATTCAGCAGCGATTCGCAGATGGAAATTCGGTCCATGAGGTTTTTTTTCGTTAACTCGTGTGGCACCCATACATCGAGCTTCTTTTTGTATCCAGCCTTATTCAAATGGTTCCAAACGGTTTTTTGTGCAATCTTTAGCTCTTGGGCAATCGAAACAGTGCTTACATGACGGTCGGACTCGACAATGTCCATGATTTTATCGATATTTTCGACAATTGGCCTTCCAGTGCGTGGTGCATCTTTGACATCGAAATTACCGGAACGGAATCGACGAAACCAAAATTGCGCGTGATTGGCTGTTACAGTATCAGGACCATAAACACTATTCACATTTTCAGCCGCCTGGCTTGCATTTTCGCCTTTATCGAAGAAACACTGTAAAATATAGCGTATTTTCTCTTTGCTAGTGTCCATTTTTGACGCGCGTTCAAACAAAACTGAGTCAATTAATCACAAAACTGTCAGAAAAATTTTTTTAGTACGAAATCTCATCTTTCTAACGCCATCTAGTGGAACCCGATCGGACTTATACAACGCGAGATACCGATAACTAAAGCCATCTATTGGAAAAATAATGGATTTCTTTTTACTACACCTGATATATCAACACAGAAAAGTTATAATATAGAATCATTATTAGTAGAAAACGTTTAATTGATCCTATATTATTTCTTTTCCGTTTCTTATTATATTTTTTATACACTTACATTTCTTTTGAATTCATTTTGTTCTATTCTTTCACTCTATTCTTTCACTCACTATATTATTATCAATACTAACTTCTGATTCAACTTCGAATTCTGATTCAATAAGTGACTCTGAGCAGAGCTGTTACATTCTATCTCCTACGCCAGTCAACGATTATGAAAGTAAAAGGAAAACAAGGACAACATGTACGCAGTCCCACATCCCACGATCAAAAATGTGCGTAGTTACGGGAACCACATCCAACCGCCACGGAGGCGTACAAAAAACTAATACTATCATATAGTATGTACTGACATAGATGAATTCCTTGCTGCTAATAATTTCATGCTAATACTTTTAGAGCTTTAATTCTATTGGCTGAAAACAATTTTTCTTCATCTTTTGATCTTGTCTGTACATTATCGATAAAGTCATACCGATGACTGTTCAGAATAAGCTTCATCTACCTTTGTCGGTCGCACAAGCGACAACTATCGTTACCATACCGAACCGACAGTTTTCGGTAAGCATATACAGAATAGCACCCCTGCTCGTCCCGATCGTCAAGCTCGCGATCGGTGCTGATTCCGCCGCCGAACAGAGACGCCAATACATCCATGGTTGAGACAACGAAGGACGCGATCGATGCAGAAACAACATGATCATGAGGGCGCGAAACGTCGCTCCGTGAGAATCGAACCGGACGGCGCGGTACGAAAACGACGACGTCATCGTTACACGCTGTTCGACAGATCGATTCGATGTCTCAAGTGTTGCCTGCCGATTGAAACTCGCCTGTCGTGCACTTACTACAGATCGTCCAGAACGCGAATCGTGATCGGTCGAAGGATGCCCTGGCTATCGATCAGAGTGACGCCATCGCCGTCGTCCGCCGGTCAAACGGCTACGGACTTTAACGAGAACAACGCGGATGCTCGGGTCGCGATGAACGTCGTGACGAACGACAACGAATCGACGACTCGTTGCTCGAGATCGATAGCGATTTTCGGGCCGCGACGGTCACCGCCGATCCGCCGACCGACGACCGTGCGAGCGACGGCGAGGATGACGACGAAACGCGCGACGACTCGATGGTTCGACTGTCCTTCAGCGTCAGACTGTGATCTCGACGCGTCGTTTCAATCGCGTCGAATGCTCTGCATGGATCGTCGCATCGGCGAGGCGTTGATTCGACTGCACGAGCGAATGCGAGCGACCGTTCCGGCGAGCGCGACGGAGCCGCGGCCATCCGCGTCGTGGACCGTCACGAGCGTCAACATGAACCTCTATCGTTTCGCGCGACGAGACGGCGAACCGACGAGCTCGGAATTCGACACCGCAACGACCGATCGTCGTCGGATCGGAGACGATCGATATTCCGACACGGCGACCGTGTAACGATTGATCTCCGTGATAATGCAAGACATGCAACAGCGAAATCTCAACGCGAAACACGTCAGCGGAAAGACCAAACTGCGAACGCGCAACGACCTGGAATCGACGACCGAAGCGTAATCTTCGTGCGCGACGACGATGTCATACGTGCCGTTGAACCGCAGTTGCAATCAGCGCAAAACGGTCGAAGTGTGTTGCATGTTGCGCACCGAGGACGATTGGCCGACGTTTCGACGATTGTTTGCCGGTTCCGCGAAACTTCATTCGTAGTCGACGATACCGAGCGCCGACGGTGGTATTCGAGAATGCGCTCGGGACGAGCGTCTTAACAATTCCTCGACCGAGAGTCGCATTCTAGCGATCGGCAGCATCGAGAGGAGAACTTTACTCGCTGGTGATATCTTGTCCGAGTTCGCCCTATTGCCGAAACTCGTGTTCGTCAATGGCAAGAGCTACGTGTACGTAGGAGCGAACGGCACCGGTCTGCCGCACGTGTCTCGACTCGAACGCAACGGCGCTCAATTGTTTCGACGACGACTCGCGTACACGGCGAACTTTGTTTTGTATCACGCGTACCACGAGAGCGACGGGGTCCTTCGACATGAGACAATTCGGTGCGCGCTATTGTCACATGCAGGCTCTGCTGTTTATTCTGGAGCTTGTGAACGCGGAACTGTTCGCCATTAGCGACGGGCGCAATGCCAATATGGCGTTGAACATGCAGAGTCTCGGCAAAGCGTACGACGACGTAGGATTGCATACTTTTTCCGAAAACAGTATTCATCACGTGAAACGAATCAAATGTGAGTCGAACGAAGGCGAATTCGCCGGCGCTGTCAAGTTTTCCATCAACGGACACTTGGTCAATCGATGCCTCGGCAGAGTGTCCGAACTGGGTATCAACGCGGTCGCGCTGACGCGGCAAGTTGTGTAACGCGATATTGTGTCAAAAAAATCTCAACGACGAAATTATAGGTAAGTGGTACCGTTCAGTCGGCATCTTCGGCGAAACGTACAGAGAGCGCACGAAGAGCGAAAATGAACAGAGAGCGCGATTTGCTCGTCATTTCGTAAAATGACGAAAAGTCGCGAAGTTACCGTCGTTCGATTCCGACTCGGATTCGACCGGACCGGTTCTCGCTGGAACGCAACGACGAAGAGTTGCGAAATTAGCGTCGTCCGATTCAGACTCGGATTCGACCGGACCGGTTCCCGCTGGAACGCGATGACGAAGCGTCGCGAAGTTACCGTCGTCCGATTCGGAGCGTGCCGAACGCTCAGCGACCACACGTAAACGAGATGTAGACCTGCGACCGGAGAATCCAAACGATAGCTCGCTCGAGTCGATTGTTCGGAGTTCTCGCACGCCCGCGCGTTCTCGCACGCCCGCGCGTTCTCGCACGCCCACGCGTTCTCGCACGCGGATTCGCAAGATTTAGGCTTCGAATTCAAACTTTGAACTATCGACGCGACCCATCAGACGTCGCGCGTTCACCGAAGCCTGTTCGAACGTGACGAACCTTCGCGACAACAAGAAGAATCTGATCGTCGTTGGACAATTGGTACCGACACCTGACATGCCGACCAGTGTGATGAGTCCGACACCGACCGGAAGACGCGAGTGCAACGGCGTATTGGAATACGCGATCGATAGACGTTCCGAAGCGCGTTGGTTGGAACGCTCGAATCGACAGTGATACGATTGAAGTTCTCATCGACGCGTTCGTACGAAATAAAGAAACATGATCTGAAACGAATCGTTGAATTCCTTTCTCGTTCCCTGAAACGCATTCGTATCCGCGCGAGGACATTCGGACGGATATCGCCGCGTGTAACGTAAAATTACACACGGCGACGAAACCTATAGCCCTTCGGCGTCGGGCGAACGTCGGTTGCGCACTGAGAAGCGCTGCGATGGACACTGGTACTTGTACATTTTCCCCCGCTGCAGGTACAAAGTGGGCGTTAATTTCGCTCTCCACCGTTCGAAGACACCGATGTTACGATTGACTGTAGAAGCAACCATTTGCGCAAAAGTGGGAGCGGTGTTAAACCGCTCATTGGTCGAAATTATTTTCTTTTCCCCACCGCACAAACGTTCAATGTGAACGGAGAAACGTGTATAAATAATAGTATCGAATGCGGCGCGCCTCAGTGCGTCAATCGACGCTCCTCGACGCGGAAGGGGTGTCGTTTATTGTCGCGATGTGTAACTAAAGTTACACATCGCGACATACGCGCTATGAAATTTTTTTCAGAGCAACATTCGAAAGTGCTGTCGAACGTCGAGTCGCGATTGTGTGCCGATCGAAGCAATGTTCGAATATGGTGCGATGAAGGGAGAGAGAGAGATTCGTTGTTTCTCCTCTAAGGTCAACGATACGATACGTCGCGACGCGCCGCATCGTTCGTTGTGGGGCGTAACGGACGCTTCGAACAAGATCGCTACAGGTGATTTTGCTGTAGGACGTTTGCGCGCGATCGCAGCGTACGCGATCCGGCGTGCGAATGCGTGCATCTCGTGGCGCGCGAATCCTTCGCTACGATAGGTCGCGTTGAGAACGAGATTGATCCGATCATCGCGTACAGACTGTGCAACGCGTTGGTTCATTGAGGGATGCGAGATCGCTTTTCAGGCCAAAGCCATTCGCCGCCGCCCTTCCATTTGTTATTTGTCCTCGGAATCAATCCTAATGTTGGGCGCATGTCACTATCGTGGATATCCAGCTTCGAGACGGACAATGCGCGCGATCGATAAGTCGTCGTCGTGTCGCTCGTTTAGCCAATTCGGTTCCGTTTCGTGTTTGTGTTGTACTCCGCGCTCATAACTCGCGCGCAGTCGATGAAGAAACGCCTTTCGCGATCGGGTCGACTCATGAGCCCAATGCCACGAACACCGACCGAGCGGCGCGATCGCGCGAACGAGACAATCGCTCCGTTGATTCGATGGCGCGCGTTATCGCTCCTAGGACGATGATCGGTTTCGAGCGCAATTTGTCGCGAACACTCAGGCGCGCGTATATATTCGCCAGAGCGCGCACGGAGACGCGTCTTCCGCGATAATGAGAACGACGAAAAGACCGCAACTCGACTCGAGGGAAGTTTCGGCCGATCGCGTCGTCGCCGCACACCTCGCTTCACGTGTGTTCGTTCGAGCGAGCTGGAACGGTGAGGAACGGGGACCGAGAGTTCGCAAGAAAGAAAGAGACACGTTTCATGAGGACCGTGATTTTCTTTATTATCGCTCATTCGCGTGTTGTTACATAGTAGCTTGTCGTGTCACGAGTTGCAACGTGTGCGTTGCGAACAAATGTTTGAGCGCTCTCAGGTGCGCATCGCGATTGAGGCGATTCGTCGAAAACGCGGACATACCGTACATTTGATAACGCAGTAGTTCGTCGTGCACCGGATTCGTCGGGTAAATGGCCAAAAGATTGATAAAATTAGTATTGGCGATAGCGCGTTTTTCATCGATCGTCAGAGCGCCGCTGTTTCCGCGCACGATATCCCGCAAGCCGCACGATACTCGAGCCGATGTAGCTCCTCGTGCGGACTCATAACTGCCGGTGACTGCGTTGTCCTGAAGAGCCTGTAGAACGATCGCTTCGGCGTATGATGTAATTCGTTGATTATCCGAGTCCGCGGGGCCAACCTCGTCGATTCCCAGGTTGAACAAATAATGACGATTATTGTCGCGACGACGAACGGTCGAGGACAATTGCG